TTATGTAGATGAAAACCCAAAGCACTGGATAATTACCAGGGAAGTAGTGGATTCTCCGTCCCTGGAGATTTTTAAAAGGAGACTGGATGTGGCACTTAGTGCAGTGGTAGTGGATCAAGGGTTGGACTTGATGATCTCGGAGGTCCCTTCCAACCCAGCTGATTCTATGATTCTATGATTCTATTCTATGACCTGGCTTTTCCCCCACCTAATATTCAATATACTTGCTTAATTGTAACACCCAGTAGTAAAATGTATATACTGCAAGAAGACTCATACTTTGCAACTAAGAGCACAAGAGCTGTCAGAGTATTTTAAAAGCTGAACTTCATTTCACTGTTTGGTGTGGTAATCCTTGTGCCTGATTTTGTGTAAATCAGATTTTAAGGAAAGCCAGCTGCTTCTGTTAAATAAACTCCATTGTCTGAGACTTACAGGGAGCAAAGCAGCCAGGTGGAGTTATTGATCTGTGAATATCAGCTGGCTGGGCCTCACAGGCAGCACACTCCTGCTCCTGGTAATTCCCAGGGCCTGCAAGGGAACGCTGCCCAAGCCAAGAGGCAGGGAGACCTGCTGGGGGTTTTGCTTCCTTGCTTGCAAACAGTTTATTACCAACAAAGAAGGGAATCTGTAAATGTAAGAACTCACTGGGGAAACCTCAGCCCTCTTGAAGACAACAGCAGAAATCCCACTGCCTTGTGTTGCCATGTGTGTTCTATCAGACCTGGGTTTACTGACAATGCAGGAGGGAACTCTTTGTCTCACTTCATCAATTTAACAATTGGAAGCTGCCTATTGAACTGGATGCTGCCTGATTTTCTGCAATTTCCTTCTTTGTCTCCAGCAGTAAGAAATCAATGAAATTATACCTTGATGTCCACAAGGTTTTCCAGTTTTAAAATGGATTGGTTTCTTGGTGAGGAATGTTAATGATTATTCTTTTTCTCTGGTTTCTTTTAAGCCTGATGAAAAAACCCCAAACCAAATGAACACAAAACACCAAAAAACCTTGTGAAATTCGTGCAAAAATGATGAAGAAATGTTTTTGTTTTGGGATGGGAGACTGAAGTTTTGATTGTCTCTGAAACGGTAGCTGTATTGGGTTTCTATTGTTTTGTTTTGCTTGTTTGGATCCTGTATGTTAATTTGTGTTGTGATAACCTTAAATATAAGCAAACATTTTGGAATATGAAGTTGGGATATTAACATTGTATTTGGACTTGGGTGATTTGTTTGTAAATCACTCTGTTCTAACCTGTTTTTTAAAATTCTTATTTGCAGTTGATCACAGCTTCTAAAAATTGAAATTATAGAGTGTGTTTTAGGGCACCATCTTCTGGTGGACAGCACACATTGTATTTGAATGGCTGCCTTCTCTAGGCACAACTATTTAAAGTATTTCTGACTAGCGCTA